AAGAAAAAAACGTTAGCGGAAAAGTAATACTCATTGAAATTAAATTAGGATAAAATGTTAGCAACTTATTGTAATTGCATTTGTACAATATGATTCTGGTTTTCTTAATGCGCTCTTTTTTTTTTTCATTTAATTCGACAGTCTTACGATTCGTGTAGTAAAAATACATTTATAATATGTATAACAATGAAACTTTATTTTTGAAAACTTAAGATTTCTTTTTTGTAAACATTTCGAATGTTTCATTTGTATTATACAATTTTTGAATTGTAATGTATTCGTGTCATAATTAAATTATTTTTCCTTTTCCACAAAAGAATATACACGTGTTATTTAATGTCCACTAAGGTAACGAAAAGTAATCAATCATAAGTACAAGTCAAGAAACAAAAACATTCCTGTATTAACTGTGGTTAATGTTTACAAATATTATACACAATTATAAAAAGGTAAATGAGTGAAATAAAAGCCAATGAGTAATTGCATTTTTATAATTCAACTTTTTGTTTGATGCTGTTATTTTGCCTTCAAATATTGCGATTGAATATCTCCCAAAATTTGCAGTAATTAGCACAAAAAAAAATAGTTTTCTACTTTATTTTACTGTAACATTTAATTTCCAATAAATTATTAAATACAATCTAAGTATTTATTGTTTTTTTATTTTTTTATTCGCCTTTGATCCTTTTTTTGCGCCGATCTTTGCAGATTTTACAATATTTTTAAACTGACCTCGGAGTTTGGCCTTTTTTCTTTTATTTAAGAAATTGCGTTTTAATGGTAAGTAGGCATAGGGATCGGCTTTGTCTTTCTTTTTTATATCACCTCCGGCCTTCTTTGCTTTGTATTCAGAGCCGCCAGTACCACTGTACATAGATGAAGTTGATACATCTCTATATAAAAAAAAAAGTACAATGAAGCAAATTCGCTCATAAAAAAATATACCAAACTGTTTAATTAATCAATAGCCGCATTTGAATTAAATAATAAATTGATTTCAGATTATTACAATGTTATCAACAGAAAAAAGTGTTTTAAATTAAATAATAAAAATATAATAGTGTGCAAAATGAAATATTAGTTACTTGGGGTTCTGTATTAATTACTTAAAATATTATCTTACCTTTATGGCTTTGAATAAAAATAATGATGCTAAATATTAAAAATAAAATTAAGTACCTATGAATTCCTGAACCTCCAGGTTTGTATTTGGAAGGTGGCTGACTTTTACCACTAAATCCACTTTTTAAACTGTCGGTAGTGTTTCTCTTACGTTTCCTGTTTGTCAAAATAGCGGTTTCCGCTGAACTCATATCTTCTTCACTATCTTCATCTGAAAATTGAATCAAAAGCTACAGAATGCAACAGCATGTACATATTTCTCAGCAAAATAATAAATCATTACCTGTATCGGATAAAGAAATGAATTTCTTCCTCTTTTTATTTTCTCTTTCACTATCTGAAGAATCATCATTAGCATCTATAATAAGACGCCCATCATCGGCGGTCTTGAATCCTCTATTTTTATCTGTTTTATTTGTCATACTTTTATCGGTCGACAGAGACGGATTTGTGGCTGAAATAAAATGAGATTACTATCTCTTCTAAACAAAAAAATCTTTTTTCATCTACACTAATATAAAAAGGTAATGTTTTTTAAGTTTGGATATAAAAGGTAATTTCCGAAATTACTCATATTATGCTCCGCTCCCAATATTTAGAATAGATCTTAGA